TTGCGCCGGCTTTGTTAGCGGAGGTGAAACGCGGCGCGGGGAGGGGGGAGCGGCTTTTCCTGAACTGGAAAGGAGGTTGGGTTTTTTTCTCCCCTCAGACGAGCTCAGCCATTTTTAAGAATTATTTAGATTTAACGTGGAAAGTAATCTTATGGATCGGTAAATTTTGGACAACATAAGGACACAAAATAACAGGAGATAGCCTTTAAAAAGGGAGGTGGCTGGGCAGTCCTGGTTAAAATTCCCTATCAGTATGACTCTGCGTTCATTTTCACATTTCCAAAGGTTTCCCTGAAAAATCCCTGTAGGAACTGTTCATTACCTTGTTCTTGAGGTGGGTCAGAATGTCTTTGTGTGGGTACATCAGCGCTGCTGGTATTACAAACGCTGCTTTGAGCTAAAGAGAAGGGGCCAGTAACGACATGAATGACAGCCAGTTTTCTATTTCAGAAATACCGTACAGCCTCTCTCATGTGTAGCTGCCGCTACTTGCAGGGAACAATTTGCAGCCTTACGCTTAGATGTGAGCCAGCAGTCAGGCCTTCCATCTTGGTTGATTCAGCAGAGGGCTGGAACGAAGCATTAACAGGCAAATAAATCCTTGCGAATGCTGTCCACCTGGATGCAGGTCCCCAGAACTGCTTTTTGCTTTGGGACTCCCAATGCCAAAGCCTGTGTAGTAGGGTTATGACAAGGGTGCTCCTTTGTAGATGGAGATGAAACAGAAATTCTGTTGAGGGGGGGAAATAAACTCCTCTGTTGTTGTCTCCTGGCCTTTTATCTGAATGGTAGTACATACAGGAATTCAGAATATGCCTGAAAACAGAGGAAATGGCTCGTATTCATTGATACTGTTGTTGTATGCTGAGCTGGTTCAGTTACTTTATTCATTTTCCTGTCTACTTTTCATTTTTAAGATATTTTTCTGACTTCTGTTGTTGTTTGCAGATAAATCTGCTTGTCCAGTGTAATTATTTTTCTCTCTTGGTCAAGGAAGTACATTTTCTCTCTTCCTCCCAGTCAACCTCCTCAGTATTCTGCAGTAATCTAAGTCAGTATCTCTAATCTCTATAGCTGGTGAAATTCAGAATGTCTTTCTTAATGACTTCCAAGCAGTAACTATACAAGGACAGATTTATTCTGAAAAACTGTATTGGAAAGGTTGTTTTATTGCTGAAGTATTTACACACACGTGTAATTGAGACCACTGTCTAACAGTTTGCTTATAGTCAGTATAAATTGTTTTTTTCCCTTTGTATCATATCTTCAAAGCTTACCAGCATTTTCCTTCCAGCAGCTTTTGTAAAAGCACTGGTAGAGAGACACTCTCAGTGAAATGCTTTTGTTAATGCTTCCATTAATGCTAGAGGTTTTCTGGGTTGTAGGTTCAGATGATCTCATTCTGTCACTCAGAATTAATACAGAGTTATTGCATTAGAATATAAATGCCTAGCTTCCAGCATCTTTAGTTGCCTGCAAAATATTCCTGGTTTGAGTCTTTCAATCTTTTCAGTCCTTCTACCCATTTGTGCTGAATTTTGGAATCAATAGTCATGCTGTGCTCCATTTATTGTTAGAAAAAATTGTTTCTTGAAGTGCAGGAAATATTAGATGTAGTTAAGTGGTGAGAATCCAGCAGAAAGCATTGTTGACCATGCGTAGTAAATTAATGTTTAGTCATCTTGTGGACTTCAATGAAAGCAGGTGTCTACATGATTCCACCCTCTGGGTATCCCACCAGTATTTTTAGGCTGTTCAGACTATTATGTCTAAAAAAAACCCAACAAACTTCTCAAAAATATATATGTGTTCACAAATACAAAAAATGAAACAGAACTTGTAAGTTCTTGTCCGCTTGACTTGCCTCACGTCACAACTCAGTCCAGTCTGTTCCTCCCCTTGCTTGGCTGCTCAGGAAGATGAAAGTGGTAGTGGATATTGTAGCACAGAAAATGCAATCTGAAAATGATGTTCATGTGGCGAGAAACTATCTTATGAAGATCTTGAGAAGTTCCATGAGGTACAGTACGGACTTTATAAGTGCGTCCCTTCTGTCCCTTCCCAGTGATTGAATTCCTCTACCATTTGCCAAACCCATAGAAAACCGTCACAGAAATCCTCTTTCCCAACCTTTGTTTCCTCACGTGCCAAACATTGCTTGTATTGTGCTAGTTTTCTAGTCTTGTGTTTCCTTAGTGGTGCATCATAGAAAAGTAATTGTCTCATAATAGATAAACCTTTTTGATGAATCGATCCCTACGGGGTCTAGTGAATCTGCCCAAATAGGTATTTGTGGTTTACCAAGCTGCTATCAATACCATTAGAGGTGAGCTGTGGGGGGAAAAAACCCCTTTGATGTTCTGTGCAGCTGAACAGTGGAATGATTTTGGTTTTTGTCCCCCGCCCCCCATACCTGAACACAGGCTCGGGGCCCTTGGAGTACACGAGGACTGTCTGGAGCCCAGCATCGCATGGCTGAGAAGAATCTTTTGTGCCCGTTTGCACTGAGAGTATTTGAGCTCCTCTGCTGATTCTCTGAATTTTCATGTTCTACCAAGAAACAACAGCATAGTGATGCTCTGCTTAACTGTTTTCTCTTTTGTCATGCTGGGAAGAGTAGGCTTTTGTTTATGGAAACAATTACTTCTTTTTTTAGTGACAGTAATGATGCTACGCTTCTTAGTGAAATTACAGCTTCCCTGTAGAATTATTATTCTCCTTTTGTAGTCCTGCATGCAGAGTTTGGAAAGGCAATTCATCATCGAATTCATCAGATCTTCCTGAATGTACTGCAAAAAAAGCCATGTACTCCAATTTGACCTGTTTTGAAGATACTGGGTTTATAACAAGCTTTAGTTTTGTTGTCTATATCCAGTGGTTGTCTGATAACCCAAATTTATAAAAAGGGGGAATGAGTAAAAAAACATAGAACTGCCTTTAGAGTTCAATTTGAAAATAGGGAACACTTTCTCAGCTTACAAATTACTTATTAACTTAGACAAATTACTTAACCTTGCAGTAATAAACTTCATAAATATGTAAGTGAAATACATAAGTGCATTAAAAAAACACCTCAAGAGCTAAGGTCCTGTAAGCCTTTGTTTCAGACTGTGGCTTGGAAGGATGGGATTTGTCTCACCTTCTACCTTGTCTAAATTTTAAATTACACTTCTCCCAAGATGAGCAGGATGCAGATGAACCAAAGAGAAGGGCAGGATGAATTACCTTCAAGAAGTTCCTTCTTCATTCCCAGGCAGCTGAGAGTGTCTACACAAATGGCCTGAGCTCAGCATGTGCTCACTGAAACAGAAGCAGCTGAATTCCACCCAGAAGGCTTATTTAACATTGGGGAAAAAAGAATGCACTTATTTTGTGAGTGGCGAGAGGTGTTACAAACAGCAAGTCCCTAGAAGGAAGTGCAAGCTGTTGTTACTCATTCCTGAGCAGAAGGAAGGGGCAGAGGAGTATAGAGCAGTTTTATAGAAAGCAACTAATTGTTGTACTTAGAAGGGATCTCTTCATTTACATGAGCATGTACATTTGAAGCTGATATCCACATACATATTTCATGACTTTGAATTCCTGAACTATTTTTGAGGCGTATTCTTAAAATAACCGACCGACCAAAAAACCCAACAAAAATACCCAACCAAACAAAAAAACCCCAAACAAAAACCCAACAAAAAACCCCCTGCATACCTGGGGTGCCAAACATTTCAAGAGCTGAAGCAGAACTTGGCTTAAGTTAAAATTACTAGTTATATCACTCTTGCTAACTTACATGAAACAATGAACATGGCTTTATTCCATCCTGTCATTAACTCTTTTCTTCCCACCTCCTGCCATAAGCACATACCAACAGTCAAACCTTCCCAAAGCCCTACTGTACTGTTGACGTGTTGTAAGCGAGTCATAAGTTTCAGTATTTCAGCTTTAACTGTTAAAGATCTGGATACGTGTCAGGTACTTTAAAATTTGTTTGCCGGTCTCTGCCCCTTATAAAAACCACCCCCAAACTAAATAACATTTTTAAAAAACCTCCAAAAACCCCCAAAAGATACAAGCACAGACCTTGGAGAGTATTGATGTTTCAGTGCATCTCAGCATTTTAAAGGAATGCTGGTGTCTTTTCAAAACTGGCATGCATGTAGAAAGTTGTCTCATTTGCTGTCATCTAAAGTCATTATGCCTCTGTCCTATCCGTATAGCCCTGGTAGTTTTGAGGGGTTTTTTTCTGCATGTCGCCTGATTGAACTGTTTGCATTGAACTAGTACATTCTGACTCTCGTTTTCAGGAGGAATGACCTAACCTGCAGGCCTCACTCCTGGCACGCAACCAAATTCACAGAAAGTCAACCTGAGACAGCCACGTCACACCTTTCCTCATCCAATGCTTGCGCTTCCTGGCACTCGCGCTATCACGCAAGGTGAGTCTCCGTTTAAGTTACATGCATTAAACTCTAGCAGCGAGACAATAATGACAATGTAGGTCGTGACGTCGAGTGTTAAAACCACAAATGGAAAATTATTGTGTTATGCGACTTCAGTATTGCCTGTCCTTTCAATGCTTGAAGGGGGAGCATGGGAAGTTTGACATATGGATGAGTGGATTTCAGAAACAGTATGTGGTATGTGCATGTGACTGAAAGGTAAGAAACTAGCTTTAAAGGCACTCAGAAGGTTGTGTTTCTTGCTCTGCGTTTCCTTTCAGTGTCCATTGGTAAAATCCTAAACTTCTGTGGGCAAAAAGAAACCATCAAAATTATCATACTTAGAGTGAAATAGTAAAGGGAGAAGAAATTGAAAAATACTGTTTCAGACTATTAAAAAGTCTTTTCCTAAAGGGAGGGTGCAGAACATGTTCCTGTTGGGCTTTAAGGTATTACTGGTTTTGTTAAAGTGTCTTTCTGTAATCTGATCTTCCCTACAGCTGTGCTCTTGCTCGTGTAGAGAGGTAATAAGACCAATGATTTTCAGTCCCTGTTTAAAGCACCTTAATATTTGTTAGGTTTCATTCAGCACCAGGGAAGAAGGGCTGGCACCTATGCCATTTTAGTTGTGAAACTTTAAACCTTTAGGTAATGCCTGTTTGTGCCTGGTTACAGGTTCTTGTTTGTTTCCTGCTCTTAGGTGACATTCTTCAGCATTTTCACAAGAGTCTTTTAGTTGTTTGGGTTTTTTTCTTTTGTCGCCTCTTTTCTTCTCAGTTCCCATTGGGCCATAGTTGCATTGAGCATTAAAGAAAACGAGTCTGGTACGCAATCCCAATTTGGAAAGTAGGGTTGTGTTTTCCGTACTTACTGCTGCACATTCCCCGTTATTACTTCTTGATGTTAATTTGTCATGGTAGTTAAAATAGAAGAATACTGATGTTTTAAGGTTTTATTTTATTTTTCATGTCATTTTTACAATTGTTTTTACATCGTTTGTTTTCTTTAGAAGCTCCCTGCTGTTTTTAAAATAACTTGTTATCTGCCCTTGAATAAAGTATGAATGTTAACATTTAGACAGAAAGGTTTTAAAATGCATTTTGTAATACTTCATTAACAGAAGTTTTAGCACATTATATTTCTCAAATCCTTGATTATAGTTGCTGCTGCTTTACACTGATTTAGAGAGTTTGTATTTAAATTTCATGTAAATGGGCTGATTTAGATTTATAGATTTGAAGACAGTAAAGTCCTCATACATAGAAACAAAATTCGGAAATGTCTAAAAATTTTATAGAGCTCCTGGTTGCAATGCTAACTCAAAAGTATTTCTACTTTCGGTCTACTGAGTCTTCTGATGGAGCTGTAAATCAATATATGCTTCCTGTTCTTCCTGGTGGTTGTCCTTGTACCTTGTGAAAGTAAAATATGACAAGACATGCGTCTTAAAGTATGACTTGATAGGAGCTGGGCGAATCATAATATTTAAATAAGAAAAAAAATTTGATTCAGGGCCATTTTGAAGCAAGCTTTGGGCAGGAAATTGTGGGTGTAAAGGAAAAAAGGGAGGGGAATAGAGCAATCCTGTCGCCCCACATATCAGAAATAGAAGCAACTGCTTGTAGATACCAATATTAATAAAAAGGGGAAATTCTACTTTCTCAGATGCTGCTGAAAGATTTAGTGGCTTTAGCACAGTCTAATACCAGGATTCCCAGGGCACTGCCATCCTGAACCCCTTGGCTGCCTATGCTGCCCACTTGAAAGGTGATATCTTTGGGAGATCTGTCAGTCCTGGTGTCTGTTGCCCAAGACAGTTTCAGTGGCAGAGCTGAGTTCAGACTGCAGCTGCTGGAGGCCCAGCATTCCCAAAGTGCCAGCCCAAGGATTTGGTTATTTTGAGGATCCCAGTTGCCAAGAGGGGTTCTTTGGGCTTGCTTGTCTGCAAAAAGGGAATGTGAGTGGCTTCAGAGATTCCCAACTTTCAAAGCACAATTCACAAAACCAAGAAGCACCGTGCGCTCTAAATCAAGCACCAAGCTGAACCGGATGTACACCAATCAGTAGCTGAAAGCAGCAGTATGCAAGGAGAATAGAAATAGCCCCAGGAGGGTACATTTCTAGTCCGAGGATCCCATCCTTGAGCACTCCCTGGAATTTCTTGCCCTTCCTTGAACTAAGCATCTGAGAATTGGTATTCACAGCCTAAAATCTTTTCTGAATGTGCCTGCCTGCATTCTCTCTGTGAGTGTGAAAACTAAATCACTTGTAAAATATGGAGAATTCAATCAGGGGGAGAGATGCTTTCACTCTCTTCCAAGCACGATATACCTGGATTTTCTGGTTGGTGGGCTGGGGCGCAGTTGAACAAAACAACCCTCTGAAAATTGTCCTTGCTACCTACGTAGGTGCTAGATTAAGCTATGGATAATTTGATTTGGTTTGAGGGTTTTTATGGTTGGTTTTGGTGGGAATTTTTTGCCAGCCTACTGAATTTGGACCTTTGAGAAGGCACATCCAGCTGGAGGCAGACAGACAGACCAGAAGATACTGTACCAGTGTAGGTAGGAAAGAGGGTAGTTCTGGAGCCCAGCTCTCCACGTCTACCACCACGTGTGTATTTTTTATCATGTGACTTTCATTCAAAAACTGTAAGCTATCTTGGTAGCACTGGGCCAGGTCTAGATGCCTCTCACAGAAGGCTAGAGAGTTAGATCTTGTAAGGGTTTGGTGCCTTAATTTCCCACTATGAGTCTTCTGCTGTCTTCTTCACAGAAGTCATACATTAACAACATGGATGCAGATTTTTTTTTTCCTAGCCCACCCTAGACTAAGGCTGAGTGCACTAGGGTATGCACTATCTTAAATTGCTGAAAGTTTAGACCCTGCATTTTTTTTTCCAGTAGGATATACTATAATAGAGGACCTTATAATCTTCTTATTTTTGTGCTCCTTGGTGTGCAGCTGAAACCAACAACCTCTTCTACTTGCTTCTCGCCTTACAGGTGTGGGTGTGAGGCAAATATGTTTTGAGAAGGCTGCTTAAACTGAATTTCTGGGGCAATGAGGGTCAGGTACATTTCATCTGTAATCCCATGTGGTCTGATTTCCTGAGATGGTGTCATTTCTGGGACGACCCAGAAGCAGAAACTCATGCCCCAGGGTAGTAGTGGTGAGGCTTATTGGCCAAAATGGCCAAGGATGGCATTTGTAGATTATTCCTGGACTTTACCTGCCAGACTTTGAACAGCAGTGTAGGTGCTTTTGTGAATCCACTGTACAAAAGCTATTGAGAGAAGGATATCCTGGGATGCCAGACTCAAACAGAGAAATGGCTTTTAGACTCTCTTCCGTGTCAGGGTTCCTGGGAGGATTGCCCTGCAACCACAGAAGGTTTGCCATAACACACCATCAGAAACTTTCCTGTCCTTTCTTTGAAGCTTTTGCTGTATCTGCTGGATTTCTATTAGGCGTTTTCTAGCAGGGCTTTGACCTCTTATGCTGATGATCTCTGCTTCACATTCGATACCAGCAGATCTACATGAAACTTGTACATTGAGGCTTTCCTGCACAAGTGCCATCTTTATTTTAATTGATGCCAAGTATCTCCTTAGTGCTGAAGGAGGGGGAAAATATCAGCAATTCATAGGAATATCTGGCTAACATTCTTCATTAACAAAGGAGATTTTAATAATGACCAAAACACTTTTTACATGAAACACAGTATCTGCCCAAGATGACAATTAAGATCTTTTTAAGTATTCAGCAAGATGTTTTAAAATGCTGAAAATAAAAGAATGAAAGAACAAAAAAAACCACAACATGAGGCCAATGCTAGTGTATCTTGTTAATAAAATGCTTTTAGAAAATAAGCAAAAAGTATACCTTCTCTTATTTCACATAAATTGCTTTTGACCATGTTGTATAAAAAAAAAGTTACAAGTGCTATAGTAATGGGGAGGGGAAGGGGGGAAGTAATTCTCATGTTAATACTGAATTCCAAAAAGCTGTTTAGTTGACCTTTGCAATATTTTTGTCAGAAAAAAAGATCTGTATCTCTCTTTGTATTTTTGTGTGGACTAATCTAATTTCATTGCTAGCTTTCACAGGTTTCTTTACTGCATGAGATTTGATAGATGCTTCTTATAATTATAGCTACAGGGAAGTGGAATAATTCTGGGATTTCTACCAAGGGGCTTTGCATGCAAGGGCAAGAATTTGAATTTGGTGTATATAAAAGCAGGAGGGGCTGCCAGTGAAGTTCAAACAGGGAGATGTGATAAGAATAAGTGGAAAGACTATCATCTCAGCATCAGTGCGTTGGATTGACAGGAGGTGGGTGCTGTGAAAGATATAAAAGAAAAGAAAGAAAACAGAACAAAACTGATTAGATAGGAAAACAACAGAAGCAGTAAGATTTTTGAAATAGTGTCCTAGGCAAATGATCCAGAGAAAGTATAATGTCAAAGATGACGTTTCTATAGAGAAAGAGTGGCAGAGAGGAACCAGTCAGTGGCGGTAAGGATTCTTGAAGGAAGGCAAGAAGTTTAGTTTTGGCCATGCAGAGCTTGTGTTGCTCTGGTATCTCCTCCTGACATTTTCCTGTCAGTGTTGTGGAACTGGGTGGAATTGAATGACATTGTTGTAACGGTGTCAGCCTGAGAGTGGCAAGTTGCATATGGAGGCTCAGAACTAAAATGGTGGCATTTGAGGCAAATGTTTTTAGTGAACCTTCATTTAGAGATGAAAATATTAAATGAATGGGCAGATTTGGGTGAGCAGGACAAGGGAATAACTTTATGGACTGAAGAAGTTTAGAGTTGGATTACAAAAGGTGAACAGGGAAGTATGTGAGCTGGAATAATTGGGGTACCTGGAAAATAAGCTGAAAAATAAGTTGGTGTTTGTCCTGGGAAAGAGGGAGCTAATGGAGCTCAAACTAAATTTGTCTGAAAGTAAAGTCAGCCAGATCAATAATTTGCAGAGGTAGAAGGGAGCCTTCAAGGAGATAAATGCGGATGCCTTATTGGTAAACTTACAAAGGGAAGTTGAATTAGTTATTAAACTTTCAAGCTTTGAATCAGTGGCAAAGTATAAAGAGAAAACCCTGACTTTGTTCAAACTTCTAATTTTATTAGATTGATTGTCTTGAGTAACTGCTATGCAGGTGGATCTTAACCAATGTTAGTAAAATCAGTGGGTATATATTTATAATTATGCGGTAGCATTTTTTGACTGATATATCTATGCTGAGGCTTTTTGTTTGTTTCCTACCATAGTTGTTCTTCTCATGACCTGTCAAACGTGTGGGATCAGTCAAGTCTACATCGCACTTCTGACCAGTTCAGCTCTTTGGGAAGTATGGACAGCTGGGACCACACTCCACAAGTAGCCCAGTACGGAAGACTTTCTTCTGCGAGGTCTAATAGCAGCATTGATCATCTAGGGAGCCAAAGTAAGCGGGATTCAGCCTACGGGTCTTTCTCCACAAGTTCTAGCACCCCTGACCACACTCTATCCAATGCTGACACTTCTTCAACAGAGAACATGCTATACAAAGTAGGCCACTGGGAAAATGCAAAGCATGGAAACAAGTCTGGCCAGTTCTTGAATGACAGCAGTGGAATAGAGGAGAAACCTGGGTATTTGCCAGCTCCCATCCAATACGAGAACAATAAAAGTCCTAGAATAGAGGAACACCCCGATGGCAAGCTCACTAGCTCTGGAAGATCCAGTTTTGGACCCGTGTGGTATGTTCCAGATAAGAAGAAGTCTTCATCTCCTCCCCCTCCACCTCCACCTCTCCGTAGTGACAGCTTTGCTGCTACCAAAGGTCATGAGAAAGCCCACGGTCCTGTGTACTCAGAGGGTGCCAGTACACAGCACTTTACAGCCCTGAACCAGTCTCAGCCCAGGAGTGACTGGAACTTGGAAACTGTGGAGCTGCAGCGGCGGCCCTCCAGAGCATGTGACAGGAGGGTCAGCAGCTCAAATTATAAATCTGAGCTTAGTTCAGAACACACTTTTTCTTTGACTGGTGAAAGGTACAATAGTAATGCAGGAACTGTGAACAAACTCCAGTCGTCCTTGTCCAGCACTGATGTTCGGTTTGCACAGCCTACCTATAGTTACCACCATCAGCACCAGTACAGTGACGAAAGCACTTTTTTTCACAATGCAAGAATCTTAGCTGCGCCTAAAGATCAGCAACATTATCTGTCCTATAGTGGCATTCAGGAGTTACCTACAGATCATTTTCATGGCTACAGTCCAAACCAAGCTGGTCTGCTCAATACTTCCTCCTCTTCGAACAGTGCTGCTGAACAGAAGGTGGACAACACTGGACAGAGTCGCTACTATTGTGTGACAGCGAAACAGCCAGCTCAGGGAAGCTCAAAGGCACTACAACTCAAGGACGACAGCTGGAAACCTGCAGTGGGGGCTTATGCATCGCTTGCACCTCACGAAAATCCTGCAGTTGTCACAATGGTCCAAAAACCAAAATGCTATCTACCTCAACAATCTGTTGAATCTTCACCAGAAGGGTGTGATAACAGTAGTCATTACCCAGTGGACAGAGAGGGGGAGGCTAGGTGTACTGTAGTAGAAGAAGCTAAAAAACTCAATCAGACTGAAAAGTCTGGGCAAAAGAAAAACTTTGAGAGGACCTCTGAGGAAACTGAAACTAGGTACGGTCAACAGGAGTATGTAAAGGGCTGTGTCCTTGCCACGGAAAACAGATCTGCTCAGAAAGACTTTAGGTGGGGGAAAGATGAGAGTAGCAAGATTTCTCCTCAGAAGACCCCAATGTTGCACTCTTTAGCTCAGGAAGGGAAAAAACAGTCTGAGAACAGCCCAGAAGCAGTAACAGAGCGACAGGCCCCTTTTGACACTCACTTATCTAAACAGGCACGAAGGAGCGATCGTTTTGCAACAACCCTGAGAAATGAGATCCAACTGAGAAGAGCGAAGCTGCAGAAAAGTAGAAGCACTGCTACGTTAGTAGGGTCATCTGAAACAGAGGAGTGCAATGAGACCTGGAAGCCAGATTCAGCAGAAAATGTCACCACCTCCCCAGATACTAACTTTACCAGCACCTACAAAGATCACCTCAAGGAAGCACAGGCCAGAGTTCTGAGGGCAACATCCTTCAAACGGCGGGACTTGGAGCCCAGCCCCGCTGAATATCTCCCCAGGTCACCCGAGCAGAAAACTGGTAGTTACAACTCTTCGTTATTGGCTTTGGTTTCTGAAGATGCGTCTGGATTCCTCGAGGCTACACAAGCTAAAGCAAACCCTGCAGGGAGCGGCACTCATCACGTTTCTCGCATTGGAGCCAGGAAGAGGTTCACAACAGAGCAAAAACTGAAGTCTTACTCTGAACCAGAGAAGATGAATGAGGTGGGGATGTTGGAGGATGAGTGCCATGCTCATTGCCGTCCAAATACATCTGAAGCAGCCCTGGGCTCCTTTGCAGACAGGTGGAAATTTTTTGAAGAAACAAGTAAGCCTGCATACAGGAAATTGGCACAGAAACCTGCTCCCCACAGCCTAGCTGAGGGACAGCCTGAGAGGCTGGATAGGAAAGGTCATGGTGGACAAGAGGGAGAGGAGTCATGGTATGAGAGAAGAGGTCGGGCAGCCTCTGTTGGACTTGAAACTGCATGTGCTTCCAAAGATAACGTCCACCACGGTAGCAGCAATAAGGCTGCTGATAAGATTGTGAAATCTGAACAGCCGCAGCGCCTGGGAACCTTTGCAGAGTATCAGGCATCGTGGAAGGAGCAGCGGAAGCCGATAGAGCCAAGGAACTCAGGAAGATACCATTCAGCCGATAATATCCTTGATGCCGGCCATGAACAACTTGAGAAACCCCAGTACACCCATGAGAGGTCTAGATCATCCCCTTCTACTGATTTCTACAAACAGGTACAAGTGTCTTTCACATCATCCTTTAAATTGCCCGGGGAGGGGTCAGGAGGGTGGTGGAGGGGGAATGAGATAATTTTAATGAAAATTTCCAGTTTAGGACCACAATGTAGTGTGGCGGTTGCCTTTTCTCAGTAAGGGATAATTGTTACAGGTAGCTCTCATAAGTAAAATGAAGAAGATCAAAGTTTGTATTGCACAGGAATTGAGTGTAGCAAAAAAGCAATTGGATCAAGTAATTTCTTGTGTGTTGTAGTCAGATGGAAGAAAACAACCCAGTTGATTTGATAATATCCTCTTTTTCTACAGTAGAGGTATAGGAGGATCAAAGTTCACAAAGTTATTTTTTTCATTGGTGTGGCTGCCTTCCCCATTTTAAGGCTTTTCCAGTTCTCTGAAACTATGAAGACAAATGTTCCAACGGGAAATAATGTATACTTTTGTCCAGTTTTGTTAATGGTCTGATTGTTTTCCATGGATTTCATTTTTTTTCTTCTAAAGTTGCTTGATTCGAAAGCTACATATGACAAAACTTCTGCCTAATAAAGTTTAGAGATTAAAAATATGTCTGTTAATGTTAAAGCTGCACCACAGCAACAAATAAAACTGCTTAGTGTTTTGGTTTATGTCAGTTTGCTTGATTAAGATGTACAAATTTATTCCTTAGAAAGATGCCAAATGTCTGTTCAACTTGCAAGTAAATATTAAGTTAATTTTTAACTGAGCAGGGCCAGGGAATGGTTGGCAGGTGGCAGGGGAAGTAAACAGAGAAACCAAGTCTTTTAAGTTCTCTGTTTAAAAGAGGCTGTTCAAGCTGCTGCAAGATTGCCTGATATGTATAAAGGAGTCATAGTGTGTTCAACCTGTGTTGAACTTCACCTTATGCAAGAAAAGAATTGAGGCGATGCAGTTGTATATTATTTTTTCTTTTTTTTTTTTCTCTTGGTAAAAACATTGCATGCATACATACATGCACATCCACACAGCACCTCTGTGTGTGTGTGTGTATATATACAGGGAGTAGAATGAGAATAGCTCAAAAAGGATCAAAATATGTTGATCTCTAAAAGTTGTGAACTCTTTTTCTTGAAGTTTTGTAAAAGTTATTTTTGAACTCTACGTGCAGACTTAACTATGCGGATAATTTACTAGGATAGAGATTCCAAGCACTGGAAATATTCACCTGGAAGTTATTTTGAAAATTAAATTAACTAAATTATTAAATAATTGCCTACCCAGCAGAAAAATCATCATATAATCTATTCCATGTATGCATTTCTGGTTTATTAGTCAGTGCCTTTAAGTTCAGTACAGGCCTCCTGGGGCAAAAAGCAGACACCTGTTTAGGCACCTGGAAAATATGGTGATAAGTGCATTGAAGATGCTTACAACAGACTGAAGTAAATAAAGATGTTGTTTTGCGTATGTGATTCAGATGATTCCAGTGCTAATGTGCAATTAAATTTCCTGTAGGTTCAGTGTTTGTAATGCAAAGCTATGCTTTGGGTGTGGTTGTTTGAAGATAGCGAGATAAAAGAATTCTGGAACAGTGATGTTGTGTGTTTTACTGAGAAACTAAAGTACGCGCTCCGGGATTCAAAAGCTGGTGTGTACTTGCCTCTTGTAAAATGTGAGCAAGTCTTCTGTAACGTCTTTGCCAGGGTTTTTTTTGTCTTTGCCAAATGGAAGTCATGAAGGTGTATATAAACATTCAGCTGTTCTGTAGATCCGCAAAGTAGAGCAGGAGCTCAAGCACTGCCGGGTCGGTAGTGCTGCACAAGAGGTCACAGCATACTGTACCACTTAAATCCAAACAAGCTTAAGACATGCTATGCTGTTGACTTCATGTATATTCAAACAGAGCAAACCCACAAATAAGTGGTTCCATAATCATAGATTTTTCAGGAGCCTGAAACATGATGACTTGGTGTCTTACTTGTGCTATAAACCACTTTTAGGAAGTTGCAGTTGAAGTAAGGAGGCAAGCGGAGGATTTAAAGGAAGATGGGGAGCTTATTTTCTCTAAAGTTAACAAACTGGATGAAAGGAACTGCACTGTGAGGTAAGTATGTCTTAATTTCTGGCTTTAAGAGATTTCTTATGGCAGCTCTGATCTGATATTCTCCTGACCTAAACTGAAAGTTTTGCTATGGTGATTTCAGAGTTTTTGCAATGCCTTTTTCCCTTGTTTCCCTCCTCCCCACATACTTGAACGTGCATGATAAATCTCAACATGAATTCTGTTGGGACTCTAGGGTGAGCTTGAAGAAATCGTGAAGTGTTGAGTGTATTACAGTTTGTTCAGAGCCAGATGATCCTTATTTGTGTGGATGAGACAATTCAGATATTTTTCGTATTTATCAGTTACAGGTTTTTGGCAGGGGGAGGGGGAGGGAGGGAGGGAACGCTTGAGGTTTCCCAAAAGAGTTTTCCAATATTATCCTTGGCAAAGACAGTATGCTACTGGAACACAGTAGTGCTGTAAATTGGACTTTGCTTGTGCCTTTGCAAAATGCAGTACATGAACAGAAGCCACTAAAAGTTGTTTTCCCATTTGATCAGCTCCTCTTTTCTCTGTTAATTCATGTTTTTAATTAAACTGTACAATATTTTCAGACCTTGTTCAAATGTATGACTGTGTGCACAATGCCGTTAAAATTCTTAAATGTCTAGCACTCATGGGGTGCCCTCCTCCTGGCCTGCACTTTGCCGGAGCTGTTGTAATGTAAGCAGTGATTTCGGTGATTGCTGATACTGCAGCTGCTTAAGTGGCGTGTGGCAGCTGGAGCGAGATTTTGCATGCACTGCTGTCGCCAGAGTTGATAGCTCTGGTTTTTGTAACAGAAGAAACGTATGTATAGGAAAAATAATTTCTACAGGCTTTTCTCAGTTCTGTAAGGGTATTAATTTCTCAAGGGGAGAGGAAAATTATGAACTATGGCAAACATACTCTTGTCGTTTACAACAAATTAGTATTTATTTGTGGTTTTATACAGTTGTATTTTGCATTGCTTATGGCCCAGCTGAAGAGACCATCTGCTATTTTTCTAATTCTTTGTAGCCCTTTGTACTTACCATAGTGATTTCAAAATGAATAGCCCGTGAGAGTGTGAATGTGTGCGCAGGCACATGGAGGGGAGATCGGGCAGGAGGGGAGGGAGAAGGGAGGCAGCAGCACAATCAGCCGGGAGCAGACGTGCTTCTGTAGGCAGACAGCATCTCTGGACAAGTAAAATGATTTCCATCCACTAGTGCTGAACCCTAGTCACAGAAGCATGTGAATGATACTCCTACGCCAGCATTTTAGCAGTGTTTGTGCAGCACAATTCTTGCTTTATAATCATGGAATCCATGAAAATCACATGACTGGGCACCAGCTGCAATAACTTTTTCTTGTTTTCTCTTTTTTTTTTTCCTTTCTTTTGTCTTTTTTCTTCTTTTTTTCTTCTTCCTTTCCCCCCTTTTCCCCCCTTTT